CACAGAATAGATTAAACCAGAAGTGACACTCTTAGTTTTTGCTGATAACAAGCTTATGTCGCTCAGTGTTGCCACTTAAGAAATAAAAATGTATTCCCTTTTTTCTTTATATACGGTCACATTGTTCAACACCATTATTAATGGTTTGTTTGTAAACACAATGTTTATAAAAATGGTTTATTGGTAAATATGAAAAATATATGGTAAATATTGGTATTAATGAATTAGAAAATATTTTTATTAATAACTTTTCCACACTTGCTATTGTAGATGGAGTTGGAGCCGAATTAAAAAATTATTTTTGTAATGTACCTTTTAACCACCCTTGTAAATGTTTTGATAAATTGTATTTAATTAATTTGTTTACAAGATTTAGAATATTTACAGCTATAAAATTTTTAAATAAAAATTTAATGTCTGAGAAAAAAATTAAAATAGGAAATTGTCTATTTTAACTCATCTATAAATTATTTATTTATGTATATGATATTTGTAAATTATTGTAATATATGTTTTAAATAAATTTAATATTATGTGGATATTGAATAATTTTTTTTTCCTAAATAAGTCTTTATTAAATATACATAAAATAAAAAATATATTAACACAAACTAATTACACATAATGAAAACATTAATTGAAAGTTTTAAAATGGTGTTATATGTTTAGAAATAATAATAAAATAAATCCAAAAAATTTACTATGCAAATTTTCTAAAATAATTAGCATGTAAATAATACATTTAGAGTTCAAATCAACCGCCGATGTACAATTATTGTACAGTACAATGAATTATATGCATACAATTATTTATTTTATTGTTTTTATGGTAACACTGAGCGACATAAGCTCAAAATTACCGTACTCTCATAAGAATACATGTAATTTTTTTATCAGTGTCCATTCTGGTTTAATCTATTCTGTGCCGTCACTATCTTTATTGTGTTCTACTTATTAAACTATTATCGTTCGATGCCCATTTCCGTAAATGTAGACCGGTACCTTTCATTACGGCAATAATATTGTCTCGTAATGTTATTGCTTTTGCCCGTTTCATTGCACCACCTAACCAATCATCCACATAAAAATCGTTAACTAATGATTGATACGCGTCAGGATACCTACTGAATTCACGTTCAGCTAACTCTTCTAAGCAAACTGTTGACAAATAACTTGCGCTTATTGTACCGTATGTCACAGTTCGTAGGCGGTAGATTTTCAATGGACCATTTGGCTTATCACGCCAGACAATTCTCTGATAATCACGATGGCTCTCGCCTACTATTATATGTCGATACATTTTTTCGATATTTGCCGTTAGTACATATTTACACATGCGAAATCGAGCCAGGATGTATAGCAGATCGTCCTGTATAACAGGCCCTTTTAATAACACGTCATTCAGACTAAGGCCCGAATCGGTTTTACATGACGCATCAAAAACGACTCGAAGCTTCGTGGTTGTGCTATTATTATTTATAACGGCATGATGAGGTAAATAATAACAACGAGTCTCCTTTTCTTTTGATTCCTCGTCAGTCACAAGTTCCATGTGTCCTAGCCTTTTGTACTCGTTCATAAATTTTGAATACTCTGCTCGTATATCGGCATTTGCTTGCAGACGACGCTCCAACGATAAAAATCGCCTTTTTGCCGTTTCATAGGATTTACCCAATTGGCTTATTTTACTTTCAGTGGCGTATTTTGGGGGGGTGTCCTCCATGTCTGGATATCCCCCGACTTAAAAAAAATGCCTAATATATTGGTATTAACTTTTTTTATAATATACTATATTTATTTACTATAAAATAAATGGTATTTTAAATAAATAACAAAATTGAAGATAATTTGATAGGAATCGACGACACGTATTTATTTATCTACATTTTATCAGAGATTTCTAGAAATTATTTGGATTTCATTGGGTCATTAGATAACAAAAATACCCGTAGCAAAAATATAATAACAACGGAAATATTCTGAACTTGTAGTTCATTTTTAACTTTATTTTATAGTTTATCAGTTTAGAGAATTATAAACAAGTAAGTTTAGTTACCCCTATTAAATATACCGCATTCATAAAAAATACAGAAAAGAATTTTTTATAATTAAAATAGTATTTAAAAAATAAACAAAAGTTAAGAAATTCTTCATGAATCGTCATTTAGTAAAATTAAAATTAAGTTGTTAATATAGTAGATACGCTTGTTAATTTAAAAATTTATAATTGGCTGACTTTTTAACTTAATTGTATCCATAACTGTATATTATAATATTTGTATATTCACATAACAAGAACATTAAATTATTTCAGTTAAGATAAATTTATATTAAATTTGAATTTATTAAATGAAATGTTACAAAGAAAAATAAGATTAAAATAAAATAACAAAACAACAATTAAACATAGACAAAGTAAAAAAAATTTTGGTGGTATACAAATAAAAATTTCAATTTTTAGTGAATATCAAGAAAATTGATATAAAATACAAAAATAAAATTTCATTCATAAAAATATTAATTGAATAGCTCGCCAGCAATAATTTCATTTTTGTGTCTTAATCTTATAAAAGGCATAAAATTTGCATTTATTGGTGTTGTATCTCCTCGAGACATTTTATCTGCCAGCTCAACAGTAAATGGCCCACAATCATGTCCATTGGTTTGGCGAGATGTCTCGCCTATTTGTAATGTCCATGTAGAAGCTTTTCCTTTTTTGTCCATCTCCCATTCAATTAAGAAATTTTTTAATACCATTGGATAGGGACCCTCATACGATTTAAAACTATCATATGATGTCACAGTCTTTTCAGGTATATTAACCACTGTCAATATCCAATGACTCTCATATACATTCATGGGCACAAAAAGTAATTTTATTGTGTGAATATCTTTTTTTATCCATCTTTTTACAGCTGGATAACCTCCTCGAAGATACGCTACAATAAAATCAGTGACAACTGCATAAACTTCACCTTCTGACCGTTTTACTATCATTTTAATGTACTCATTAATTGTGTCTGAAGTATACCAAGATGTGGGCGATTTAAATGAAGGTGCATTATACTGATCAAGAGATTTTGTGTTCTGATCTTGCATTNGGATCAAGAGATTTTGTGGTCTGATCTTGCATTACTTCTGCAAGTGTAACCATATTTAAACATTTTTCATAAAATTAATAAAAGACTTTGTTGAACAGTTTACTATTATTTAGGTTTATTTAAGGTTTTGGAANGCTATTATTTAGCTTTATTTAAGGTTTTGGAATATGAAATTAAACACGTATAATTACTTTTGTTTAAAACGTCCATGGACCCCCTTAATGACACGCCTCTGCAGAAGTTATATTAATTTAACTCGTATTATTATAATTAATTATGTTTAATAAATAATCTTTTTTTATTTAATTTTACATAAAATAAATAGATTAAATAACTAATTACCTTTTTCTTTCTCTGGTACTTTTATTACTTCAATAGTGGACAGAGCAAGTAAATTTACGTCATTCGGCGTATTTAAGGTCAAAGGATTAGAACTAACTTTTGGCTCTAAAATAATTTATGTTTAAAAATATTACATATTTGTTTCAAAAATCAAAACTTCATATTTTTTAAAAATGAATTATATTTTAAAAGTTGTATACTTTTTATGACTTTTTCATCTTCTTCGGATGAATTTCTTTTTAAATTTGGTCGAGCAGTAGTATTAGAAGATATCTCAAAAAGTTGTTTTTTTATTTCGGATTTGCGTTCCAAATTTTTCTTATGAAAACTCTTAACGGATCATAAAAATATATTTAATTATATGATAAATTTATTTAAGAAATCTGCTTTAAGTCCAAAAAATGGTTTAGGGTATACCCTAAAATCTTTTTATTGAAATAAAGCATAATAAAATATACCTTTTCTAACAAATCAGCTGATATTAATAGCGGATTGTCTTTTGAAATTGCTATATTTTTTTTTTCTGTTGAATTTAAAATTTCATTTTTATATTTTTCAGATTTTTCATTCTGAAAAAGTGTTCCGAATTCTCTTTGCTGCATCATATTCTAGGTAACCAAAGAGATATTTAAATAAACAAATAAACTATACTTAATATTATATTATTATCTTCGATAAAAATTGAATTTCCCATAAAAATCTAATAGAAAAAATAGCAGAATAATATTAAACATTATGTTACCGCATTTATATTAAGGGGGTTGATAGTTTATTTTATATTTTTGAATCAGACAAACCCCAATAACATAGCTAAATCGAATAAATATATTAATATAATTATAGTTACCAATTTTTCTGGAATAATTTTATCATTTTTATTCGTTTTTCGATACGTGCGTTTTTTTGGAATAATGGAATTTTTTATAGGATAAATATTTTTATTAATAATTGCTGCAAATTGAATATAATTTTAATAATTATTAATTAAATAATCAATTTCGAAAAAGGTTTTTAATATTAAAATAGTTAAATTAAAGTAAAGCGACTGAATTATTGTTATATATGAATAAGAGAACTTATTATTAATTTTTCTTATATTTTATATTAAAAAACTTTTTCTCTATTCGAAATAGTTAGTTTAATTATTAATCTTAATAGTGTTTACAGATAATTCTTCCATCTTTAGTTGACTTTTTTGATATTTGTCCTTTATTTGTATTATTTAAAACACAATTGGAATGCATGAAACGACGATTCCATATTTCTTCAACTCTGCGTATGACCTTATGTAAGTTTGATTCATTTGTTTGACCAAAAATATTTTTTTCACTTGCCATATCAATAACTAATTAAATAAATCTTAATAATTACACAAGACGATAGTTTATTTTTCACGGGAAAAAACGAAGTGAACTGAAATGTCGATAAAATCAACATTTACATCTAATTGTCAAGGAAACTTAATTGTAAAAATTCATTAAAAAAATGTGTAATCCAATTATAAATAAATTTAGTATAAACAATACTTATTTATTTTAATTGTATTATCGGTCAAGGAATACAATATTTTAAGAATAATACAGAGAATTAACAAAAAAAAAATATATATATATATATGTATTAAAGATATTTTGAAGAAAAACCTTTTGTATTTGTTTGTTTATTTATTAAATTAGTTTACAAATGATAGAGATTTTTTTTATGAAAGTTCAAGTGAAATAAATTTGATATCGGTTAACAGAATATTTATGCATATAAAATTTAATCTGTATGAAATAAAATAACAACAATTGGATTTATTCTCTTGCAACTATTAAAAATTTTGCCCATGTGAAATTGCTATTTCCATTTAGTTATTAACAAAAAACATCATGCCATGCGATTATAATCAACATAAAAATTTATTAAGTTGAATATATAATATAGTTTAACAATTTAATTAATAATTGAATTAATGACATAATAATTCTGATAAAAGAAAATAACAGGAGTTTTGAATTAATTTTAACGACTTTAACAAATCGAAAATAACTTTAGGGTTTAACTACCTATAGGTTTAATTATTATTTGCATTTTTATGTTATTATTATTATTTCTTTTTTCTTTGTAACTTCATTGAAAATGACATATTATCCAAGAAAATCGAGGAAATTTTAGAGAAATATTAAGGTACAGTGCCCAAGGAGATGACCGTTTAAAATCATTTTTGGAAGCTGAAGAAACAATAAAATATACAAGTGATACACTTCAAAATGAAAGCGAAAAGATGTGTTGAAAAGTCAAATCGAAGAAAGTCAAAAATGTATAACTAAAAAATCATTAAAACAATTATGTGCGACTAAATGAGTTGAACGTTTTTATGCTGTCAATGATTTTCTTGAGCTTTTTGTGTATTTCATTGTATCGTTATTTATAATTTCGAAGTGGAATGACACTGAAACATCATCAAAAGCAAGTAATTTACGAACATCAATACTGAAAGGAGATTTTATTATTTGTTTACTTATTATAAATAAAGTATTTAGTTATGAGTTACTTTGTTTAAAACAACTTCAAAGAAATTAGCAGGTACACAGCATTGTTATTATCAATGGTAGTAAGGCACATTGTTGTGAGTTTATAAATACACTAACTGACAATACAGAAAGTATATCTATGATAGTCATAATTGATAATAAACAATCCGTGACTGCGACATTGATATCATATAAACCATTTAGCTACCTGTATTTGTAATCATATCATCATGTGTATTATACATGTATATTAACTCAAAAATTTGAAACTTTAAATGTTTATATCTAATAAACTAATAAAGTTATATTAAAAATTCAAATGCCATTTACTATTTAATTAAAAATCCAAACATTTTATTATATTCAAAATATGTGTTCCCATTTAAAAGACAAAAAGACAAAGTTGACACCCTTACAAGGCATAAGGGATGAACATAAAAAGTTTTAAATAGTTAATAATTTAAGAATAATGTGTAACTAAAGAAAACCAAAAATAATGTTTAAATTATATTTATTCTACAAGTAAATGAGTGGGTTATGATAAAAAAATCAGTCTGTATACTGTAATATAGTTTATCATTTGTAAAGCTGGAAGTAAAACATTTTTGTAATGTTTCGTTTAATTGTAATTTCCTGATCTATTATTACTAGACCAGGAATTAAATATTTATAAACATTTTTGAAAACGATAGTATTATTAATTTTGCAAAAAGAAGAAAAACAAAATATTTTAGTATATAAGACGAAATGGAATGAATCGTAGAGGAGAGAGGACCTCAGGAGCACCGAAGGTAATCTTTTTTCGCGCGGTACGTTTATGTCATTAAGTTTTCATTTTGTGTATTGTTTTATTGTGTTTTTAGTGTATAATTATTTTGTATGTTTTGCATTGTTTAATTATATCTATAATAAATACATTTGAATTATTATTAAACTTTTATTACTTTAAGTTAAGACACTAGGGTTGTTTCTTTTAAGATACAGCAGTACCAAAATTTCAAATTTCAAATTATTTGTCAATTCCTAAAATAGTAATTAGAAAAATAGTAAGTTTTTTTTACGTCAGTAAACATTTCTATAATTTTCGTTNAAAATAGTAAGTTTTTTTACGTTAGTAAATATTTCTATAATTTTCGTTTGTGAGGTTCATTAAAAGTTGGACACCACCCGAGAAATCATTCAAAATACGCCACTGGTTACTTTTGAATGGAAATTGTACCACGAATCTTCCACGTTCATTGCAATGAACTGTGCGATCAAAATATTTCTTGCACGCTGTTTCTTCTAACGTCCATACATTTTTTTCTGTGTACTTATCCAAGGGCCAAAACTTGGCCAGTATATTTTCTAGTGACACGGAGGTCATGGATTTGCCGTGATGGGTGGCCAAGGGGGTGAGTAAAGCAAGATTCTGGTGATCAGCTGTCTCACGAAATAATATAATCAATGATCTTTGTAAGAACTGGTCACCTAGATCCTTCTAAAGGCGTTCTGTACCATACATACTTGGATACACGCATACAAAGATAATCTATAATACTGCTAATCACAGACTGATTGGCGGCCGCCGGACTAGATTGGTATTTATGTCAACGCCGACGGTCGCCGATAAGCTATAAGGCACTTCAAGTTTTATTAATGTGCAGTTAAGGGAAACACAGTACGGCCGATGTATTAACATATTGATATCCAAATCAGTCCGATGACAATACCCCGATCGCATCACTCTTTTATTTAATATACTTTTTTTTTAGTCTAACCATTTCCATTTTATGTATGGAAGGGTTCAAAACTTAAAAATTCGTATAGAATGTAATATTTTTTTAACATAACTTTTGAAAATGTTCCGAAAATACTGACACCTATATACATATCTTAAATTAAAGTTTATTCAATACACTTTAATATGTAAAAAAAAATTTTTAATTTTAGTTTATCTTCATGGTGATAATGGCTACCGTATTAAAAATATGCTATTTTTGTTATATAATTCACGGTTTTGTATTTTATTTTAAAATACCTTACAAAGATTTTTGATTTAGAAAAAATATCTAACTTCTTTAATTTTTATCTTATTTATATTCAATAACTTTAATGAATATCAAAGACCCCATCACTGTAGTCTCCCCTCGTGTGAAGATATTTCTTATTCATATGAAAGGTATTTTACTGTGTCATATTTTTTTGTGGCTCTCATTTATTTTCTCAGCTCTCACTTGACCAACTTTTTTTAACGATACATCAAATGATCACAACTATAATCTAATTAAAGTTATTACCCTCAAAATTGAAAAAAAAAATCCCCTTTATCAAATAAAAAATTGTTTAACCAGCTTTCTCCATACAGACAATTAATATCAATAATTTAAAAGTGATTCTATGAAATATATAGTTAAAAATACATTTTATAATTATTAATTTTGATTTTTTTGAAAATAATATTATTAAAAACGAAGAATATTTGTGAACAATATAGATATTTACTATAGTTATTAACAAAAACGAAAACAAAAAAACTTGTAAATTAATACTTGCAACGTTTTCCAACCTAAATTTATAATTTATATTATTTCAAAGTTTGAAGAGAATATGTGTTGTACGACAAATATGTACCAATTAACTTAAAAACATAGTAACAATAACAAACTGCGTCATTCAAAAGTGTATTTTATTATAACACAATGGATTGTAATAAATTATAACTCATATAGCATACAATAAATTTTGACTAGAGATACAAGTTTTATTTTTTTCAGAAATTATTCCAAAATAAAAATTAAAAAATTATTACCAAGACAAAATCTTTAGTAAGTATAATTTACCATAAAGAATAAATTATTATATTGAATTAAATTATTTAATAGATTTTATATAATGCACAATACATTCCATTCGATGTTTTCTTAAAACATAACTGGGGTATATAAATTTATAATAATGTAATAAAACTAACATTTTTCTAAATAATTTGCTTTAATCACATTGAATATTTTTAGACTGAAAAAATGAACTTAATTGTTTTAATAACACTTTCCGTTTTAGTAAGTATTCATTCTTATTAGATAAATAATTTTTCAATGAAACTATTTACTTACTATACTTTTTAGTGATTCAAATAGGTATTTTAAATAAAACAATATTAATTTTTATATTATCAAATTTTACTTAATTGAAAAAAAAATGTTTTGTTAACATTTTTTAGTTTTGATTGGTTTTACTATGATGCGTTTTTTTTTTTTTTTTTTTTTTTT